CTACAGAAGCCTTATTGAAGATTTTTCTCTTTTTAAAAAATGTGTTACAGTGGGGTTTGGTTACTCCTTAAACATTTTACCAAATGAAATGATTGAATGTGCCCTGAGGAGCACGCATTTGGGTTCTCAAAGCCCTGTCTGTGATTAAGAACAAGTTCAAAGATTTTTTTCCTGAAGGAGAATCTTGGCTGGGTTTTCTTTCCTGCTGCAGCTCACTGCGGCGTGACTGGGACACTTCTGGTAAGGCCTGTCAATCATTAGGCAAAGATGATCTCTGCTGACCCTGGAGCCTGCAGCAGTTAATGCTGCATTTGCGCACTCAATCAACTGGAGCAGCCGTACCCCACGTAACTGCCACAGCCATTTCATACTTACACAGTACTCTACTGTCTACTTCCGAGCCTCCCTCCCGCTGCTCTATTATATGTATATATGTTTGATTACTCTTTATTGTGATTTACTTTTTTTCTAACATACTGCTATGGTCTAGATTTTTTTTTGCTACTGATGTGAGCTCTCTGACTCTGCTCCTAGCTTCACAGTGCTTTTCTTTAATTCTTTGCTCAGAGTTCTAATATTATCTGAGCAGAGCCATGCACAAAGAACACAGTAGAGGAGCAAAAATTAAAATGGCAACAAGTCCGTCATTTCCCGAAGGAAGCATGTGTACCCTGCACTTTGGCCACCTGCCAGAGTTGTAAGAGGAGGCTAGAAAGAAGACACCAGAGGTTTGGGAAGTCTCTCAGTGTTCTGGCCATCCCTGAAATACCAGGGCAGCTATGAGATAACAGAAACGGGAGTTGTGTTGGCACCAGTCCCTGTCCTCAAGCTGCTTCTTTCAAGGGCAAAGACCATTACTTCTTTCCTACATGTCTATTTTAAAATAGGAACTCTGGAAAGATGGTTCACGAAGTCAAACATACTAAAAGAGAATAATGAACAATTTACTTTTCCTCCATAATTCTTGCTTCTCCTAGTTCCAATGGCCACTATTCCCTAACTGCATGTAGCCACTCTACTAGCTTTTTATACATTTTTTACAAGGAGAGAGGACATAAAATCTTGTGTGGGCACTACATCATCAATCTCTCTCTATTTGATGGTGTCTAGTTCCATGTAATTGTTATCATGAGTAATACTGCAATGAATGGTTTTAATTGTTGACCACCAGTAAGCATGTAAATTATCATTGGCAGATGCATTTTTTAAAACTTTAAAATGAGCAACTCAATACCTCTCCTCCAGGATATCAGGCATTTGCATTCCCCTACAGCAGTGTGTCTGTGCTGTCTACCCCAGTACAACATTTCTCCTCCAGCGTTCTCGACTTGCAGTTTGACAACCAAAAGCCACTAGTTCTCATATTTGTTGAAATACTTAATGAAACAGCCTGCCTGTCACTTCTCTATCCAAATGCCCTCTCACATCTTTCTTAAAACCCTCAATCTTGATTCAGGGATATTTGGAAGTTGAGTTTGCTTGAATTCTCTAAAATAGTCTGTGTTTTGAGGGCAAAGGATATACTGAGGCCTGTTTAAAAGGAATTTTAAGTTCACCAATTGGGACCTCAAATCCATCATGTTTTATTTGCCCATTATGAGGGTAGAGAAAGCCTTGGCATATGGCAGAATCCTCTTTCTTGGGCCCATAAAGTAAGTACTTAATAGGGTCACAGAAATCAAAGGACAATTATTTGTATTCTTACTCATCACCAGAATAGTGGCAAGATTAGACCGTTAAGGGGGAATTGCAGAGAAGCAAAAATCTGTGAGATGCTGGCCAATGTTTTCTATTTCCATTCAGCTCTTCCATATGGTCAGTGCAAGAACACATGCATGCTGTAATTGTATTTCCCAATAACCATATTTGCCTCTTTTCTGAAAGAGATTCCTAAGAAGTCTGAGTCCTGAGCTGCAGGTCTTGATTTGGTAGCACATGCTACTTTCTAGTAGGAATAGTTGGATTTCACCTGGCAGACACGGGAGAGCTTATCACCTCTCTGGCTCTGGGCCACCGTCTGGTTCTCGGAGCCTCGCCGACTGTCCTTTCCTTCTACGAAACAATCTATACACAGCATTATCTACAGTCCTAACTGATCACTCCCAGAGAACGGCATGTGGCAATTCCGTGCCTGTCTTGAAAAAAAATCAGATACATTTGTTAAATATAAAGTAAAAAAAAAAAATTGGGGCTGGCACAGTGGCACAGATTAAACAACCACCTGCAGTGCCAGCATCCATTATGGGTACCAGTTCAGGTCCTAGCTGCTCCAGTTGTGCAGAGGGTGATGGCCCTGCACCCACACTGGAGATAATGGAAGAAGATTCTGGCTTAGCCTGGCCCAGTCCTGGTTACTGCAGTCATTTACTTGGGGGACTGACCCAGCAGATGGGAGATGCTCGCCCCCACACATACACAACTCTTCCTTTCATATGACTAAAATAAATATTTTTAAAAAACAGTTATTTATTTTGAAATTTAGAATTACAGGAAGAGATGGAGAGGTTCACTCCCTGATTGGCCACAGTGGCCAATGTTGGGCCAGGTGGAAGCCAGGAACTAGGAATTTCATCTGGGTCTTTCAAGTGGAAAGGAGGGGCTAACACACTTGGACAATCATTTGCCTCTCCTTTTCCTAGGCCATCAGCAGTGATGTGAATCGGAAGTGTAGCAGCTGGAACATGAACCACTCTAGACGGGATGCCAAAGCGGCACATGGCAGCTTTACCTGTTATACCACAATACCTGCCTGGAAAGATACATCTTTATGAATTAAAACAGGGGACAGTGGTTGCCATAGCATCAAAGATGCCACCTGGGGAAACACAAGTCCCATGTTGGAGTCCCTGGGTTCAGATCCTGCCTCTGTTTCTTTTCCAGCTTCTTACTGATCTACATCTGGCATGCGGCAGGTTCCTGGGTTTCTGCCATTCAGGTGGAAAGCTCAGATAAAGTTCTGGGCTCTTGCCCTGACCAACCTTGGCTGTTGTTTTGGGAGTAAACACGCAGATTGAAGATCTCTGTTTGTCTCTGCTTTTTCAGTGAAAAGAAAGAACCTACATCCTCTGTTAACTGCCAGGAGAAAGTAAGGGATGCCAATGATAATGGTGGCAGTGAAAGATCACTAGCAGATTTAGATGGCATTTCTTTAGCCGCCGACAGCCAACCAAGAGATCTGCCTTGAGCAGAGTAAGAGAAAGCCTTTCAGCCTGTCCCATCTGCACCAGGAGCTGTCCTGCCAACTGAGCAGATGGTCACCTGGATGGCTGGTGTCCACGCAGCAGACCAATAGCCAATGGCATCTCCCTGTGAGCAGCCTGCTGAGGGTTGAATGTAGGAATTGTCAAAGAGGATAAGGGGTGGTGGGACTAATTCCCACCACCTGCGAACCAGCTCTTGGCTTGCTCCTAAGACCCAGGACATCAGCCAGGTAAGCATGCATCCCGAGCTGCTCAGGTGAACTGGCCGCCTTTGGGTCCTGTCCGTGTAACTAGGTCTCCCTACAAGCCCTTCCAGAAGGTGGCAGATAAAATACAAGGTTTCCCAGGCCTTAAGAGTTCAAGCACTGGTTAGGCGGGTTGCTCTTTCGGGCCATGGATGCATACTTTCTACATATTAATTGGAAGCGCTTAAAAAATTTGTTGAATAAGAAGAATAAGGATGACTAAGAATGAATGCATGAACTTTCTCCTAGCAAATAAAATATCTCCACTGAACAGGAGGCAATCAAATACTTTTCTGAAGTGGATGTCACAAGACATTAGAATCCATTAATAGTATTTATTTTAAAGATCACTTTGTAACAAATATAAAGTCGATGATGTTTTACAAATTCTCAAAAATGCTTTAAGTACAAAAGAAAACATTAGTAAAATCAAAGCTATGCTGTATTATTACTGTTTGGTACACACTTAACACGGTCAGCATGCACACCACAGCCCAGGAAAGCTCATGCAGTACAGGAAGGGAGCAGACACACAACATAACTGCTACTTTGTCTGATTATAAGTTCATTGCTTCAGTCAGCTTTCTTTCTTCAGGGATGCCATTTACCTGCAGAGCAAAAGGAGGCCAACACACGAGTTAGGACATCAGTGTCAGTGTGGTGGATTTTGAGTCACACAAATTACTGCAAGGAGAAACTTTCTACCTTCTTAGTGTAATTTATACTATTTACAATGCCTTATTTTTCTGCATTTGGTTTTAAACAGAATACACACACACACACACACACACACACACACACACACACACACACACACACAATAAAAGGGTAGGTTCTAAAGGAGTCCTCTCTCTCTGGGATGAAAGCCATGCTTTCTACTTCTCAAAAGGTGCGTGCGGTCTGAAAACGCTCCTCACGATAAACAAGAACGAGGTTGACTGCAGGAGGTTTGTACCTGTTAATCGTGGCTTTTAAAAAATACCATGTGGGTTAGAAGGGCAGTGACCCTGTGAAAGCCTGACTGGCTGTCAGACCTAATGACCTGGACCATGTCCAAAAGGCAGTGCTAGTGTCAGCTTTGAACTGCGCTCTTAGCCCAGCTAGTGCGCGAGCCCAGGCACACGACATGAACAGCTGGTTCATTTCTTAAACATTTGGTGAGAATTTAAAATGAAAACAAGCAACTTAATAAAGACAACTTAAAAAATACACTCTCCTCTGAGAAATTCCATACAGATAGCTACAAACAATCGTTTGCCATATGTGCCTCAGCTATCGTCCCGGAGAACAGTGGGACTCTGGCAGTGTGCTCTGAGGTGCCTGGAAAAAGCCAGTTGTTCGTCATGACCACCATGCACGAACGTGGCTGCTTCGCTGCAGACCCACGGCCCCAGGACGGGCGGACGAAAGGCTGCAGTGCCGCCATAAGGACAACGGGGCAGCACCAAACCCACGGATCTGCAGGCAGAGTAATTTTGGAAATGGAGAAACAAATTTTTTTTTCGTTTAAATGTATAGAATGGGAACGGTATAGACTGTAACTGCCCCCGGGCTCTGCTCTCCAGCAGGTCAGTCTCTACGTAGCGTGACGTGTGTGAAAGGCAGGAAGGCAGCAAAATTCCAGAAGCATCCCAGATCCGGAACAGTGGCCCAGGGGTCTCCTTAGCACTTACGCTGGAGACGCCCCGACAAGACAATGAACAACACAACAACCAAGAGGAGATGGTGCACTCCAGTCAACAGCCTGATCCAAATTGCAGAAAAACACGAGGAAACAAGAGCTAGTAAGCTATCATGTTAACTGAAGAAGACCATTCTATACTCAAGCAATATACGTGCTCTCCAAAACCTGTTGAGAAAAAAATAGTTCAGAAAACTAGACTGAACAACCTAAAATACCCTTGGGAGCATCTTTGGTTCTTAGCATATTTGCTCAGGTGTAAGTTGTCTGTATACTTCAAAATTCTCCCTTTTACTGCAATACAGCACTTTCACAAGCCTAACTGTTACAAACCTACATGACCATCTAATAAATAACATGGTCCCTACAATAGTCTACACGGTTTTTACTTCCCCTCGGGGTAACTAAATAGAATTTCAGGGCTTTTTTTTTTAATACTCAAATAGCTAGTATTTTTCTACAAATTATGTCCCTTTTACTCAGTTCTCTGAAACAACGATGGATCCAAAGGCAGAAACGTAGGAGGAATGGAGTGGATGAGGGCAACGGAAAAGAGGCCCTAGCCTTCCTCTGCAGACTCATCCTGCTACATTTTTGTCTTCTTGTAAAAAAAGTAGCCATGAAATTCATGATCAGAGGGGTTCATTTGCTTTTTTTTTCTTTTGGGGTGACAAATACTTATAAGAAAGTTTGTTTCTTCATTAATCTCCTGGATGATTGCAAAGTACCCCTACCATATGGATAGGCTGAACAATCTTGTTGAGACATTTAATTAAAACAAGGAAACAAAATTATGGAGAAAAAAAAACACTCTGACAAATGTTATAACCAAGATCTGACAGAAAACATTGAATACTTGCCTCAAATCTTTGAAAAGTTGTCAAACGAAAATCTCCTTAAATTCCCGAAAGCAGTAATAAAGAAGATAATTTTTGAATGAAAACATCCAATACATTTCTCCATGTGCCTCCAGTTTTTCAGAGAGGTACTTAATAGCTTCCCTACCACAATGGCACTATTCAATCTTAGGATTCCACACCCAACTTACATTTTTAAGACTTCTCTTATTTACCCAAAAGAGTTACAAAGGCATTACTGGTTGCCTGGCAATGAGAACCAGGAATCAACTACTAATTAGAAGACAATCATGAATAAGTTATCTACTCAGCACTGGAATGAATGAAATAATTGGCTGTGGAAAATTTTTAGGGCCACTTGAAAGAAAAAACTGGAAGAAAGCAAGTCTTGGGGAAACAGAAGCTTCCTGGGAGAGCCGTCCGCCATCTTGTCCTGCTGGACCTGCTGTGGTGACTTTGGAGGCAGCTGGAGAGCTAGGCCGGCTCTTTCTCATGTCCTGCCCCAGAGCCTCAGTGACCAGTCCTTTTGTCAGAGTCAATTTTGAGCTGTCCACTGGGACAAATCCCGGTGCATCCCCGCTAAGCCTATTTCAGACCAAGGGGAAGAGTGGGAAGCTGCCGTCAGGGAGGGGACCCCATTGAGTGCTGCTTAATTAGGCAGGACCTCCATGCAGGCATGGTTTACCCTGCGTATATCATCCTGTTGTCAATCTATGCCACCATGTATTATTAGGAGGCTCCCAGGTCTGACCAAGGCATGACAAGACTGTCTTGTTTGCACTTGCTGAAATTCTAGCTTCTTTCACTGTGCCTTATTCATCTTTTTAATCTGTTACCTTGATCCATAAACATCAACTAGCTAATGTGTCGTACTCACCTGTGGTCTGCTGTTGGGGAATCTGAGTCGGGTGTGGCAAGTTCCTAGGAATAATGGACATTGTTGAGCCAAACTGTGGATTTTGAACATGAAGGTGAACAAAAAACAGACAGTAGAACAGAGGCTGTGCAGCGGATGGGACCCCAGTCACATAATCCAGCACAACTCCCTCCCCATTACGAGTTTACAGATGAAGAAACTGAGGTTATTATGTAGAGCACATAATACAATGCGGGATATGTAATATTCTATAACATTCATGGAATTCTTATCGTATGCTCTATTTTACAGTACCTCGCATCTTACCTATAGATGAGAGAGTCTCCACATGCTATACCCCTAAACTACCTGTAACAACCCTAACAGGCAGGTATGGCTATTCATGCCATTCTTCAGCAAAGACACTCAGCAAGCTGAGGCCCCAGAGCAAGGGTGTGAACACTGTGACCCCAGCCCGAGCCTGTGCCCTCACCTTGTACTCTTTCAGATTCATGCCAGTCACTATCCTGCATCCTGCCTATTTCATCTCCTGCCAGCATCTGGCACCGGCCACCCACCTGAGCATGTTGTAAGTCAAAACGCAGTCATCACCCTTTGCCCCCCCTCTCCCTGAACCACTCAAGAAGTTCTGACATTTCTCCTCAACTGCATTTGATCTGTCCTCTTGGTCCCCTCTCCCACTGCTAACTTGCTTGAAGCAAATAGTTTCTTACTTGGATCCCTAACTGGCCTTACTTTCCCATCCACATTCTTGTTCCTTTCCATTCCAATTTGCACACTGTTGACAGAATGATCTCTTAGAATACAAGTCTGATAATGTCACTCTGATAACAAGTGTTTCAAGACTTCCTTATGCCTATCTGCAAGTTAAGTTCCAGGTTTCTTAGCATGGTCGAAAAAGGCTCTGTATCCGGTCCTTACAGAGGGCAGCCTTGTCTGCACGAAAGCAACCACCACATGTCCTTCACCTAACGAGCTTCCACTTGTTTTTGCAAACTCAGCTCAAAGCCTGCTGCAGAGGAAACACATTGCTCTTGTAATTTAAAAATTTTCATAAGGAATGTTATCAAAAATGTTAACATTGTTTTTAACTCCCATGCCTCCTCACTCTGAAAGCAAGTCTGCGGCTCAGTTGCCATCCTGCACACTCTCATTCACATGCTGTCATCTAGTCCTCCATACATCATATTTAATTGCTCTGAAATTCCTCACGAGTGAGACTCTTCCTATTTTGTTCAATGTACCCACTAGTAAGCGTGCAACAACCTGGAACGAACGCATACAAGGAGCAAACATAAAGACATGCACAACCCACAGGTCTCCATTAACAAGGAGATAAATTCAGTTTCAAATTTTGCTACTAATTTATGTAAGTATATAACTTAGCCCCCCCTCCCCCGGGGATTTTACTCTGTTAGCTTTGCCTTCAGACCAGAGAAGGTCTCCCCAAGAAGCCGTTAAAGTTATCAGGACAATAAGATGCTGGACTCAATGCTGGGTATGTGCTTGCAATGAAGGAATCTCAACTGAACTTGAACTGTGGTTATGCAGCAAGATGGAGGAATCCACCATGGTGGGAGGGTTGTGGGAGGAGTGGGGGAAATCCAAGCACCTATAAAACTGTATCACATAATACAATGTTATTAACAATAAAAAAATTTTAAAAAAAACTTAGCCCCCCCCTTTTTTTAAAGAAACTCAGAGAGCCAGCCTGTTGCTGTAAGATTTGACACAAGCAAGGGGGTTCCAAGGTTTTTTTTTTTTTCCTGTGTATCTTTGGCAATAAAATTCCTTTTAATTGAAATCCTAAGCAGAATTCTGATACACAAAAGAGATGGGTGCGAGGTTGCCTGGATTGACTCAAGGGAGCGAGGAATCCTGCCAGCTTTGTTTCCTTTGCCCTACACGCTGCCTCCCAGACATGACTAAGAAATACCCAAGAAACAGAAATTGAAAACTACTGATCTGAATCATTTCAGCAAGACGAATATTATGTCTCAAACACAAGACATGGGAGAGAGTGTGTGTTAGTTGAATACTGTTTAAATTCTTAACATATAGTTAACATCTCTGCATGAGTTTTAAACTTTTGTTTCCATTTGAAACATTACTAAGGAAATAAAAATCAATTTCAATTCAGTTTGAGAAGGCTATCTTATAATTTATCTCAAAGAACTATACTGTTTTTCATTATAAATTATCAGTCATACTCATTGCTCACATAACCTAAGGGAGCACTTCTCTTGGTTTGGTTCTTTGAGTACTTCACACAATGCATTCATACTGGTTTTGTTTTTGTATATAAGAGACTGACTTTATAAGCCACAAATGAAATAAGTTCTAGATACAAACATGGAAAAGCAAACATCTTTACTACCAAGGGTGAAATGAAATTAATCATACACAAATAGAAAAAGAAAAAATAATAAAGAGAAACAAGAGTAACTAAAAGAAAAAAATAAGTATTGAATTATACAGATGTCTCAGATACAGTGGAGTGATATATTTTATCTTCACTATTGATTACAACTGATTTGTGTCTATTGTTGATTCTAAGCTACTATAGTAGCTGCTCTGCCAACATGCACGTGCCGCATGAAAGTATCTCTCCTTTCCCTTTGATGTCTACCTCTACCTGGTGTATTAGGATATTAAATTAACTTGCTTCAAAAAACCACCAAAAACCAAGAGGGCAAGGAAAACACAGAACTGTGAGAGTTCAGACACAGGCAGCGGCTGGTAAATGAAAAAACCCATTGTTCAAAATCCCTCCTAGCTCAAGGATACCCCAAGTTGGAAAATCAGTATTTGGATGAGGCAGTGGGGCCCTCTACTGGTCTTTCCGACTTAGCCTGTGTGCCTTATTTCACCAACGTCAAGCCGTATGTCACTCATTCCTTTCTAGCCTTCATGGTTTCATTTTCTGCCAGACTGCTGAAACTTTCTCAGTCACTACAGAGTTGGCAGGGTGAAAAGAAATTGTTGAGTGAGAAAGCCACACACACAAGCTAGTGACAAATGTGAAGTCGTATGAAAAAAAAAGCCTGCATGTACCTACAGGGCTTATTCTGGTGGGTAAGTCTATGTAATGCACATATCCTCCTTGCAATTTCCATGAAACGCCAGCAGAGTCATGTCAGAGGTGCTTAAGTGTGCAAAAAAGGTGCCCAATCAAAAACAGATTGAGATTTTAACCACCCCCACCTTGAGTCCCCAGGGTGTGCATACAGAGCTCTGCTTGTGGCTGTTCAAACTTGTGACTGCATGTTGAGTTTGTGAGTGGTGGACTGCTAAAGCTCCCAGGGTGCCTTTGTTTGGAGTTGTGTGTTCCATCTGAGCTGAAGGGAGATGCATCCTACGAGCTCTGCTTCAGGCAAAATGGAAAAATGCCTACAACCAACTGTACTACAGGTGAGCTGCAGAGAATGAAGGAGCAAAGTAGGAGTATTTCCATCCCACAGGCTGCTCAACGCAATTACATGGCGGAATGGGGGTTGACTTCAAATAGAGGCCCTGTAATCCTTCGAAGAAAATATTTTTCTAAAGTAATAAAACAATTTAGAATAATTGGTGATTAATGGACCAACTGAAAGGTTATTATGTCTAAACTACATTATTTAGAAATTTAAGAAAACTATAATTCTCTAAGTATTAGCATTAATTATTTCCTAATTTTTTTTACCATTAATTACAGGCACTTACATAGAAAACCATAAATTAGTCACTGAGCAAACATCACTCTTTAAGAAAGCAAAGGTAATGGATTGTGAGGTAATAAACAAGTGAATGGGGGAGGACCCAGTTACTTGTTATTTGTACAACTATAGAACGGTAATTTGACATTGTTCAGTATCCTGTGGAGCAATTCTATGAGTCATGTTAGTTATTATCAACAGATTATTTTGCTACCTAAAGTCTCAACAGCAAAGTAATTTGTAGAAAGCCACACAATGTATACCAGAGTTGAAAAAGAATGACTAAAGTGAAACCTAAAACATTTGTCTTAAATAGGTGCATACTCATTTAACAATAAGAAATTAGTAATATATATTTCAGAATTTCACAGCTATAAAGCACAATTTATATTTGCCAAACTTTGAATGTCTGACATTTTTTTCTTATAAAAATGCTCAGTGTCGGATCTCCATTTTTACCAAGAGATCAGGCTGTTATTTGGACCAAGGAAGGAGACAGAAGTTCCCAAAGAAATTGGAAACATCATCACAATTCATTTACAAACAGTAATTTTAACTGAAATCAATGTGGTATTCTAGAGGAAATCGAAGGGGAAAAAGGGATACTCGTTTCTTTCTAATAATTCCTTCTGCTTGTAAAATCCCAGAGCAAGCTGAAACGGAAGCTATTTCAATCTACAGAACCAAAAGAGGCCGAGCAATGTTGCATCTGTCACTTGCAGTGCCTATCGCTGCATTAAAGGCTCTCTGTTGTGGTGGCGTTTCTTTAAGTCAATGGCTCCGAAATTTCCTTGGCTGCTTGGAACTTCTTGTCAAGAATCCTCATCGTGGTCCTCTAAAACATTCTCTCCAATTCAAATGGAATCATTTACTGATGGAGCTTGTCTACAAGGGTGGTTCTTATATATTACCAAAGGGATGGCAAACACAAAGATATGTAAATAAAAGCAAAACAATTAGTTACTGTTTTTAATTAGAAGACTTAATTTTACTTTTATACTTGTTCATTTGACACAGATTAAGTACAATCTGCCTTCTGGTTTGAAGAACACCCAATTACCCTGGATTAGGTATTATGTTTAGTGTAGTGAATAAGAAAAATTTTTACAGCCAATTAAAATCCTCTTGAAAAATGTTTGGGGCACTTTCTCTTATTCTCCTAACATAAGGGGCCTTTCTTGAAGATGCCTTCTACTCAGGAAAACTCAACTGGTATTGATGCTGTTGTAAGGAAGGAAGAAACACCAGGCAGATTCCTTCTCTAAAAGCAATGTAATTCATTATGAATTTAATAAAATATCTTTCATGGAACATTTGGAAGCTTTTGGTTAATGCCCCTTTTCCCAAGTGTCAAACTGCAAAATGACTGCAAGTTCTCAGCAGCTTTCAGCTTTTCAAGGGTAAGCATTTTTCTGTCCCATTCAGCTATTGTTTTCTAATCACAGCCTTGATTTCTCACTTTTCTACTCCATTTTTACCCAGGAAGTTTAAGGAGATACCACAAAAAAAGAAGAAGAAGAAGAAGAAGAAGTTGTCTCACGGCTGATAAGTATAAACCCGGAGCGGCCCTGAGTTTCTGGATGGGCGGATTCAGGCCCTTCTCATAGCACCCCTTCCCCTCCACCCCGGGGGGAATTCAGGCAAACCTTTCAGGGTAGCAGTGCAACACCCCTTTCCCGGGGCTCTGGACAACCCAAATCCTTTAATCAGCCCAATCAGGAATTGTGAAACTTGCTTTTGCCCTGGTGCTTCAAATCCTGGACTCCGCTGGACTCCGGGCCTGGTCTGGGCTATGCAAGCTCCAGGGGACTCCCTTGGGTGCTGTGCTTGGGACCAGTCAGGTTACATTCCCTAGCCATGTTCCTTCCAGGACCTAAGATTCTTTGACTCTTCTTCCTCTTTAGATTATTTCAAAGGTTTCTCTTCTGAAGCACACCAGTTAAATCGGTTATAGTTTCCTGCCATTAATTGCTAATGGAAAGACTTTGTTCACTGACATAACTCCCCAATCACAACAGTGATTTCAGTGGGCAAAGCCAATTTGAGAATTACTCTATACTATGATTTCCAGAAGTGAATTGCCTAGTAAGTAAAGGGACTGCCTGTTGAGGGGAAAATCTCTCTAGCTACTAATGGAGACGCTTGCTCAGTGGCTACAAAGATGGCTAAGTGCAGAAGCAGAAAGCCTGGCTGCACAAAGGGAATGGATGCTATCAGCAAAAGCCTGGCTCTGCTTCTCGGCGCTGCCAAGGCCACTGGACACAGACTGGAGGAGGCCCACAGATGCGCTGTGATTACTGTGTGCTCAGCAGAACCCTAGAATGGACGGAGGCCATTATCTGGACAAAGAGTGCAATGTAAAGAGGCTAAAGTGAAGCAAATAGTCAAGAAGCCACGCGGGAGCCTTCCTCCTGAGCCAGATGTTAGTGGGAGAGCTCGTGGAGGGGTGTCCTGTTCCCTGTATTAACTATGCAGCCTGCCAGCCTCTAAAAGAGCTTCAGAATTTAAAAAGTTTATTAAAGAATAAGCAGATTAGCAAAGATCAAACTAAACTGACCTTACATTCTAAGCAAGGTGATAATTCAATCAGCTGTTTTTACATTGTGCCTGAATTTGAAAAAAATCAAAAGGAACACTGTAGAAAATGGGCCCCCTCTTTCGCGTTGTCCAGGCTTCTGGACCTCAGGCTTTCTGGTTCCTCTTGCCCTTAACTACTGATTGCTGGTCACCTGAAGGAGAGCCCTGTGGGGTCAGCAAGCATGCTATCTGCCTCAACTACCTATCGGTAGGTAAATAGCTTAATCTCAGTTCAGACCTAAGTTAGCTTTGTTTTTATCAATATCTAAAATGAAGTATTTTCAAAAACATTTTTTAAAAAAATGAGATAGTTTTTGGTGCCCATCTGGAGCCCTGTGAAGCATTATAGCAAAGAAGAAAACTACTGTGTGATGGGTAACCAGCAGCCCGACGCTTCCCAGCCATTCCCTCTGAGAAGGGTGGAGTTGTTACAGACACGAAAGAAGTTTCTACCCATCCTTGCAGAAGACTTTGCATGTCCTTGAGTAAACAAACAAACAAACAAACAAAACCCCTATGTCTTCAACCATATATTTACTCTTGGATATTTCTGAGGAATCAACATGAAACTCGGTGGCCAGCCCAACTGTTTATGATGATAAAAGTGGTATACTTAGCCCAAATATGTGAGGGTGAAAAGCATGCATTTTTAGAAAGAGGTTAATTAATAAGTGCAAGGCAGCATTATCCAAACATATGCCTGGTTATCAAGTACAGTGAGGCCCCCATCAAACATACTTATTTTAATCTTGAGAATTCAGCCGCATTCTAATGACCAAAATATTTATGTGTGTTTCCTCACTGGTGAAACTTTAATAACATGGCATTTTTTCTTTCCAGGTAGAGTAAAAGTTGAATTTGTGTAAGGACAGCTATGATGAACCTGACACAATAAATTCCCTCTCATCCAGCATGGCTGCAAAATGAGGTTAATGACATATTCTAGCTTATAGGGAGTTACCATAGAGACCGTGTGCATATTATCCATTTCCTAGAATAAAAGAAAGATAATATACACTCAACACTGAAACGACACCGAATGTAATTTAATTTTCCCCTGATGAGTCAGAAGCACTTGATGATCCCGCAGCGGCTCCTAATACTCACTGAACATCATCAATTACCTACGTCCCTATTTATATGGAAGTGTCAGTTAATGCAGCTTTCCCATTAGTAGAAATCTGAATAACATGAAGGTTTTCTGGACTTAAAAATACATACATGTTGAAATTGTTGCAAGTTCATTGTAATAACCTATTACATTTGCCCATGGAGAGCACTGATCAACATAATGACAGTCATGATGGGGTTACGGGAGGACTGGGAAGGTCGACTTGATTGCAGACTGAGTGGGACATTTTATTTTGCTTTTATGTTTGAAACAATACTGCGAAGCCCCACTGCTCAGAATCAGAATAATTTAACGGAGTTATTCTCCGTTAGAAAAGAAAAACAATGACAGTAACTTTTTTTCTTTCAAATTTTACCATGATAAGCTGATTTAGAAACATATTTCAAGTTCTACTACTCATTACAGAAAATATTTTGGGATGCTAACCTTTTGTAACATTGCTATCTTGTCACTAGAAGAATTTCCCAAACTGTTCTCTGAAGAGTTAACTCTGAGCTTTTCCCACAGATTCACAAAGTACATCAAAACGCTGAACTACCTGAGAACTCTCCTGACTTAGAAAGCAAACAAAACCTGTTCTCCAAGTATTGTTGGTCATTGTGTTTTTGAAGAAATTTCTTTCAACTTTTCATGGATACTTTAAGATACATAAGAAACATTCAGGTGAATAAGTTTAAAAGCTTTTCATTTTACAAATGGTTTGTTGGTCTCTCTATCATTTTTACCTAGTAGAGGCAGGGCGATGAATAAGATGTGAGCTGTCACAGGGCTCTTTAACAGGCACTGCTGTTTGTCATCAGTGTCCGGCTGTAGTGACCCAGACTGCATAAGCCACTGACCCGCAGCAAGCATACAAACCCATTCTTCACTTTCAGGAAAGTAAATTTTGTGGAACTTCAGTATAGCACTGATATATCCACGTTTCTAAAACTAAACAAAAAATTGGTAGGCTTTTATTGACTTATTTTAAAGGCATGGAGGAGTCAAGAGAAAGGGAGAGAAAGAAACTGCCAACCACTGGTTTGTTCACTTCCTCAGTGTCCACCATGGCCAGGGGCAAGCCAGGTGTTGTATCCACGCTTCCCACACGGGGCGGGAGCCCAGTCAGTTGAGTCATGAGCACTGTCTGCCAGGGTCCGCTCTGGAAGGCAGGCACGGTCAGCAGGAGCCAGGGTTGGGAGCTGTACTCAGGGAACTCGGACACAAGACACAAAGATCCCAAAGAGCAACTTAGCCACTAAGTGTGCCAAAACACCACGCTCCAACATGTAACCATCAGCAGCTCTGGCCCCTGTGAAACAGACCTGAACTAACTACACATGCACATACATCCACATGCACACGAACCTGTCTTAGCCTATACAGCTCTAGGTAACTGACATCAGACAACCTGAAGAGAACATTCATAACACTTCTGGATTGCCAAAGTATTTTGGACAAATCTATCTACTCTGTTTCCACATTCATTGCTTTTAAATCTTCAAATAATCACACACATTCTACTTGGTTACAAAACAAACACAACTATGGGGAAAATGTGTGTGACCAGAATGGGTAAAATTAGATGTACTTTTAAACAATACAAGTTTACTTTTAAAAAAATCATATCTTAAAGGGTTTGAGAGAAAAGTATTTTGTTTCTGTTTGGCTGATTGTACAGATGCTAAAATCCACCTACAAAATTGAAGTGAAAATAGAGATCTCAAAAGCAAAGCTGGTGCCTTCCAGGGCCCCGAGGACGGCTGAATTCAAAGAAGGAGCCACGTCCTTAAAAGGAAACAACAGCTTTCCCCAGAGTTCCCTTGTTCTAGCCTTGAAGAACCTCCACACATCCTCAGGAACAACAGAGCCATTTCTTCCACCCCTTTCCATTAGTCACTCCACACCAAGTCCCCTGCAGGATTTGTGACCCTAGCCCCACTAGCACTAGAGGCACTCTGTACTGATAAAATACAAATGGCAAGTGTTTTGTATACATGCAAATTTCACACACACACACACACACACACACACACACACACACTGGAAATCCCTTATCCAGAGGTAAGAGATGATGCAGGTCTGTAGAAATCTTCAAACCAATTAATTAGCTAGTTACAAAAAAAATTTAGAAAAATAACCAATTTTTGATGTGCCAACCTCTTCACAGCTCATCACAGAGCAAACAGATCTTACTTTATTATCCATGCCAATTCCTTCCATATTAAGGTGAATGTAGTCTGCTTTAGATCAGTGGGGATGGAAAACAAGCGCTCCCTGAAGGTGTTTGTGTCAAGAGAGTTGGGACCTATACTACCGGTGTCCTTTTGGAATTTTTCCTTCTTATTTTGAACAAAAGCAAATGACAACTACAGGCTGCGGTCTGTGCAGTGAGCACGCGTGAGTCGCCGCTCAGGATACTCACTGCTGTGTCTCCATCAAAGGCATGTTAGTGCCGTCATAGCCGTCCGTGTGCAGAGGAGGCAGGATCTCCCCCGTGACAGGGTGGAACACGGGCAGCGTGGACAGGGGCCATGCGATTTCTCTATTTTTGGACATGTCTCGAAGTTCCTTAGTAGATTTCTGAATAGCACTGTGGTGGACCAGTTGAATGCTAGGTCAAAGACAAGTAACATAAGATATATTCAGAATCACATATTAACCCTTTGGGTCATAATTCAAAAAGTCATGCAATTTTTTTTGTTCTTTTAAAAGAACAAGGCACTTTTGTAGTATGGGCATTCTAGAAATGATCTCAAATAGGGAGAAATCTTACGTTCTCTTAACATCGCATAACAGTTTTACAAACTGACTTTTAAGATACAGAAGTCTCACAGTAAACCGAGGTGTGAAGCTCTGAGTTACTAGGATAGCCCTAAGGAATTAGTTTTCTAGTTTTTTTGTTTTTGTTTTTGTTTTTTTTTTCTGTAGTTAAGCCAGAACTACTATGGTTTTTCCATTGTTGCTTCTCACGGGGCATTTACAAATACTCACAGAATTTTCATTTTCTGGTAGGGTTTATGGCAGGTTCAGCAGAAAATTATGAAAAGTCTTTTATCTGTTCTCTGGTGTACAGACACACAGTTTGGGAAATTAATATTCTGAATCTAAAATATTTTAGAGTGAATCTTTACCTAAATCACCTTTGTTTTAAAGCCCTTTTTATTACTGGTTTCTCTCCTACATATTTCTATTTAGAAGCAGCTTTCACATCTATGAAATAAACAATGAAAGATGATGAATGGAAGAAAAGCATGACACACATGTACATAGCATGATGGGCAACTGAAAAGTGAAAAAAAATGACAAAGAAAATAACAGGAAAGAAGACACTTACTCTGGTGTTTGCATGTTTCTCTTTTCCCTAGAAACAAAACAAAATTTATGAATTAAATAATAGCATTGATATTTGGAACATTAAGACTCTATACTCATGGGATCTTGCATGATGTGGAAATGCTGCCACTGTTACTATTAAATGCAACCAGGCAGCATTTGGCACGAGGCTGATGACACTGCGTGGATGAGTACACACAGAGCGATGAAATACTGATGAGAAACACACAGAAAAATGAAAAACGAAAAAAGAAAAAAGGATGAAGGCTGAGAATCAAGCTCTGGACTGAAATAAATCCCATGAAAGAATGAAATCAAGCTACATGTAAAAATGGAAGAATCTGTGACTAGCTGCTTTATTATTGAGTTTTAATTTTTGTTACTCTGACTTCCAGATAATCTCAGATGACCTTAATAGAAACACATACTCTGAGTACTAACTAACCATGAAGTCTTTTTTCTCAAATAATACTGTCTTTACATTAACTTACTCCTAAGTTGTCTCTCAGTGTATTTTAAAAATTTGTATCTTGTCACCCTGTTTGCCAACAAGACAATTTCAAGGAGAATTCTGGCTATCATTTCTGAACAGACTAAGACAATTTATTTAGTTTACCAACAGATTCCAGTTTCGGCTCACAGAAGATGGCTTGTAGAACCAAAACACCTAGTGCCAATTTTTCTTGGGACTGTTTTGCCAACGAGAATCAAGATCTAGCCTTAATAATTTTTAAATAAAGTAATTATATCTCCTAATTTGTGTTTCTAGACTCAAAGCTGTTTTAATTCATTTTAACAAAATGAAACACTGCAGTTTGACTGAATACAATTTCAATTCATTTGTAAAGTGCATTATGAACTAAACAAAACTTTGCTTTTAATGGAATCCTCTATGTTGTGAGCTTAGCAGGCACTCTAATTTTTTATTAGCAGTTGAAAGTACTCACACTCCTTCCCGTCGGCAGCACATGATATAAGCAAGTATTACAAAAAGGACCAGCGCTACTGCCGAGGGCACAGCCAGGGTAATCAGGAAATCCGTATAATAGTCCCTGCTTTTCAGAGATTCCGAAGGGGGCTGGTATTCCCCACCATCAGGTAAAATCCCCTCTCCACGAATCACTTCCTGAAAGGTGGACACTTGCTTTGTTTTATCAACCTGATACAAAAGAAGACAGTACAAGTCAAATTAGCAGTTGCAAACATTCTGAGATTTTAAAAATCTAAACACAGTAAGACCCTCCCTGCCCAGGGATCTCAGTCATCCTTTCCAAGTGTCTTCTCCCGGTGGATCGGCAATGCTTCACCAGAGTCAGGAAGAGACGTCAGCGCTGGGAAGGAGTCATCCCTCCAATGCCTGATGCACTCTGGCCAGGAGGGTTTAGCTGCCCTTCCCAGGTTTTTCCCTCCAAAGCAGAGTCCTTCACACCCCTGTGCACACTTCTTGCGCTCTAGCCACTGACCGCTGGTGCAGAAGTCAAGCAAACCTAAGATGAGCTGATAATCAGGTTTGCAGCTGTGGCTTTCCGGATCAGGCAAAGAGAAACACACAGGGGACAATTTGTACAGGCCTTGCCCTTGATCCTTCTGCTGTCCAGCTGACAGAAGGATAGCCTAAGGAATCCCAAACCCATTCAATGCCATCATTTTTTCTAAATTCTATCCTAGGATCAGAAAACACACAGCACGTCCTCTGTATTAGTTTATTTCCCCATTAATGTGCTTTCACTGAGCCGCATTAAATTATGCTACCCGTTTTATCAAAGGACACTGAAAATGTAGTCATGTGAAATTTGTTATTCTATGTGCTATTAAAAATATTAGACATAAATATTTATGACATTACTTAGTATCTTTCCCACAGACTCCATCTGAATAACTTTGTTAATGATACAAGCCAGTCAGGATTTTATTCTCCTTTTTGAGGGTGAAAACTAAATAAATGATGAATTTCCTCTACTTAATCCTAAATAGTAAGAGAAATGTTGTCAATCATGACTTTAGGCTTAATATTATTTTTTCCAAAGTTTAGTTACTGATTTTCCTTTTCTTCATATTTTATTTAGGTTTATTATGCCCCTCTTTTATTGAAGCCTCCTGAGATCTTTTGTAGTAAGAGTGATATATAAATACATCCATGTAAAATAAACATGGAAACCACAACCCTTCCATTTATAAAGCATTACTATATAAACCACAGTCTTCAAAAACATAAATCATTTTAATCTTTCAGAAATTAGATCACTGTACAGGACAACCATAAGTAAGCTGGTGTGTCAGGGTCTGCCATCTGCTGACAGTGGAGACAGGACTTTGTTTAAGTTATGACTGCAGTTGCTCAGTTTTTTGCAACCCTTGTATGATTAGTACCCTGGCTGAAATGGCACGCTTTGAAATCTAGCCAATATCTAGAATGTACCTAAACTGCAACAAGAAAGTAATTGTACTTGATTCTAGAAGACTGCTTTTGTAAGATGCCAGGGACAGGAGTCCAGGGCAAAGGGCCATGAGTTGCACCCTGATAATTATACTTTCCAGGACTGCATCCTTGGAAGGATTCCTGCAGCTAGCTGGCTTCTCCATGATAAAAAGTGATGGCTGTGTCAGTCCATCAGTAACTGTTCAAATGTCAACTTTAAAGTTGGGGCTAAGTCACTCAACACCAATTATGTTTGGTAGAATTTAAAGTTAAAAGTCATGGAAAGAATTCAAACAACTTTCTTATCTTTCAAGTCACATATACTAAATATTACATATAGATGCATAATACTAACATATGGAAAACACTGTACATACCATTTTATAGAAAATATTACATTTTCCTAAATCGTAGCATGAAAATGAAAAGGTACCTTAGAAATAATTTACCGTTTATGAATTTATTCATGACACTGCAGGTAAGATTTTAAATTTCCTCATTTGGAATTGTTTCTTATCTCTGGAACTTTGCCTACAATTTGAGTTTCCAGGACACTGGACCACAGCATTATGCTGCCTTGCTTTCAGCTTCATTAGTGCACTTCAGGCTCTCTTTCTAATGTAGGGTAGCAACAGCATGTGGAGGAAGAGCGTGTCTGCACTTATCGTGTGTATGCGATTGTTCCTGATGACTTAACAGCCACCTGGGTGTCCAGGAGGTTCACTGGGACCACCTGCCACGCTAATCCAGTCCTAGCAGCTAATCAAGGGTAAAATGAGTACACAGGTGGAGATACTCTTTCCTGAAAAGATGCACCGTCAACGAATTTAGCAAAGCCTTATGGGCAAAGGAAGTCAGCTGCAATTAACAAAGTAAACCCGGGATTTGTTCCTAAAAGCTGTTCGGGTTTTAGTCGAATGTTATCGCCAGACACATCAATCCTAATTGTATTTACAAAAGCAAAATAAAACAAAAACTCACCAAAGAAATTTTGCACCAATCGATGTAAAACTGAGTACGAAATTTTTTATCACATGTTATAACAGGCTCCATTTCTTGACTGCATCTCAACTGGTTCTGTGGGTTTTCAACTTCTCGTAAACAAGAAGAAAATGGGACATCGGCACCAACCATGACATAAACACTGTAAAAATGTAAAACTCTCCAGTTATCCTTTAAGAAAATGGAAAACACTGAAAACAATCCACCCCGAATGCAGGATTTGCCCTTCTGAATTGAGGGATTAGCTAGAATCAGCCTTCAGGTAGGAACCTTGGCTTCAAAAGCAGTGATTCATGGAGGGGCTTCTTCCCACTCGTTGCTTTATTCAACCAACATGTACTGTGTTCCTTGGTGTACAGGATACTCTCCTGTCTAGTTAATTTCCAGAAATTTTTGGACTTTGTATTTCATTCAAGCAAATCATGTGCCATATTCTGATTACAACAATTGGTAGACTACCATATTTTTTAAAAATCTTAGTGTAAATTTCTTAGAAAATAACTTTGTCCCTAAGTAATATGACTGTGACATAACATCCCTGAAGGTATGGGACCTCAAGGTAGATATTGCTATTTAACTCAACAGTTGTGAAATTTTCTAATAAAAATCTCTAATATACTTGGTCTTTCTTTGAGAAGTCAATCTTCTACATAAGCCAATAGGAAAGGAAAACTATTGTTTGGTAAAAAAAAACAGGGTGAACAAAATTTTTCTTGGTGTGTAAGTTAGCATTTGTGGGGGAAAAAAACCAACTTTACCTAGCAGTAAGATTTAACAACAACTAAAAAAAAAAAGTCAGAGGGAGGGGAAAGTTGAAGTGTCTTTAAATTATGTCAGAGTAACTTGAAAAGACAGGAATTTGATTGACTTTTCAAAAAGTGTAGAAAAGCAAGAAGTTTCTTTAAATAAATATTTAGAACGCTATTATTATTTGAAAAAGGAAATAAAGCCATTAAAATTCTAGCTCTTTCCTTGTTAAAATTGACAGACTGATCCTAAAATTCATACTAAATTTCAAGAGACCAAGAAGAACTAACCAAACAACCAACCAAAAACTCTTGCCTGAGAAAAAATTTAAAACCAATTCCCAACTTGAAAATGTACCCATCTCTGTAAGACAGTGTGATACTGGCCCAGGTGTGACACTGCTCAGATTACATAAGTCTCAAATTCAGTAAACTGATTATCATCATGGGCACCAAGACAACTCAAAAGAAAAAAAGCAACAGTTCCTAGAACTAATAGTGCTGGAACAACTAGTTATCCACATTAGAAAGAAGGAAGATGAGCCCCCTGCCTCACACCATATACAAAATTTGCTCAAACTAAACCGATGAGGATTATTTCCAGTTTCTGGTCCATGATAGAACCTGCAAACAAACAGTCCATCCTTTCAAGAGGTGAAAAGGTGTACAAATGAAAAGTAGAGAAATGAGAACAGATGGCAAACTGCTGTTCCCGATATTGTCAAGATTGACAGACACACAGAATCAGAATTGGCTGGAGAGAAAACTTGACCACTGAAGCCTCAAGATAACCAATGCTCATGCAGGAAAACTATAGTGGATGAACTGTGAGCAGTATGGACAAGTCTGAGTTAATGCCAGTGGGATATAGGATTCATCTGCCGGTGCTCTAGCAGGTTCTTACAGTATCAGAGAACAATTCCTTTCTGCCTCCAGCAGGGGGAGAGACAAAAAGAACCATTTAGAATACAGTGGTACATTCTGTTCCACTGAACAAAAACCTGTCTTTTGAAAACATTTCTTTAACCAGAGCCCAGTGGGCTGGGTTATTTCAGAGCCCAGCTGTCCTTAGGGGAAAGGAAACACCTCACCACAGCTCTATCCTTCCATGTGCCAACTCTAGGCCACTCTACCCATCCCAGCTCACCTAAAGGGACAGGATGAGAAGTACTTGTGAGGTTGACAGTTAACAGGCACAGGCTCATGTCAAGACCGAGAAGCAATCACTGGATGATAGATTGCTTCCTCTACCTGTCCATTCAGCACTGCCTTACTAGAGGCCATTTGGACAGGACCAGGGTTTTTGCACAATCAGTCCAGCTATCATTTGGAGAGTGAACCAGCAGATGGAAGATCTCCTTGACTTTCCTTCTTTCTGTAACTCTTCCTTTTGAAAAAAATAAAGAAAACAAAGCTTTACAAAACAAATACAGGAGGAAAAAACTGATAGAATTGCAAGGAGAAAAGAGAGAATCCATTATCCTAGCTGGAGATTCCTGCATCATTTGTATCCAAAATCAATACCATTCAGTGGGGCAGAAAACTAGCAAAGACGTAGTTGAATTGAACAGCAACGTCACCTGTTTTTACCAGACCTTAATAGACTGTTGTATATAACAATACCAGAATATTCACTCTTCTCAAGTTCTTTGAAGTTCTTTGAAGTTCATTCACCAACATTTAGACCATAAAACATACAAGTTTTAAAAAATACTTTAAAAATATTAATGAACTGTATGAAAATGAAACCATTACTTATCAAAATTCGGAAGGAGGTACAAGGTAGTACCTAGAAATAAATTTATAACTGTGACTGTGTATAGCAGCTGTATCCATAATGATTAAAGCTTACAGATGATCAAGATGTCCTTCGGTGCATGAATGACTAATCAAGTGGGGCACATCCACAGGATGCAGTATTACTCAGTGCTGAAATATGAACTTGCTACCATGTTCCAAGAAGATGTGAAGAGCTGGGAGACAGGTGTATGTGCGTTACGTGAAGAAAGCCAAGCTGAAAAGGCTGTGTGCTGTATGATTCCAACTAAATGAGGTCATGGGGAAAAGAAAACTATGCATTCAGGGACTCCGTGGATAGGCAAGATGAGCAGACAAGGATACGAGTGACCTTGAGAGCTGGGAAGCTACTCTGTACCACAATGGTAGATAAACGTGATTGTCCATTTGTACAAGCCTGTACTATGTACAACACAGAGTGGAACCTAATGTAATCTAAGAACTGTGAGAAATAATGATGTGCCAGTGCAGGTTCACCAGTCGTAAAAATCCAAAATCAAGGTGAAGGAAGCATAAAGTCAAGATCAGGGCCACAAAGGCAATCGTGCAACAGGCCACAACCAAACAATTGCACTTGTTCTGCACATCAATACGTATGAAAGCCAATTTCATACGTAAGCGTTTAAGAAAAACTAGGCTACTTTAAGGAAACAAGGAGTGAAAGACTGACTGAAAATAAATATCACACTAGAATTTCAGAAGTAAATAGGAAAAACTGTTGATACAGTATTGAAATGATCAGTAGTCCTTTAAATGATAATAGTCCTTTTAAAACAAATTATTACTTTCAAGCTCATATAAAGCTGATTTTTATCCCCTTATTAACTGTCTCGCCAGCACTATATTTTGTCTTGATAACTTTGAAATATATTTGTAAACACAGAGACAAAATGAGTATTTCTTACAACTGTTAATGGCCTTCTTGCTTAAACATGATAGTGATTTGCATTTGCAATTAGTGAGGTTTTAAATTAATTCACTTAAAGATAATAAAAATGGGCATAAGAGTTTTTGGTGCTTTCAAATGTTTTTCCTTAAATTAAAAAAGCAATATAAAAACATTACAGAAAACTTGGGATATAAAAACAGAACACATTTATATTGCCAGAAAAACTATTTTCATTTTCCAATGTACCTTGCAGAATATTTTTCAAACGCATATGTTTTAACCTAATTGCAATCCTCTCTAAAATATAATTTTGCATCCTGCTTTTTCACTTAATACATCATAAGCATCTTCCATATTGCAGCCTTTGTAATTATAGTTTTATGGCAATGTAATTTTTAAAGTGCACTTGATTTATTCAGCAATTACTTCAGAGTTGGACATACAGTTGCTTCCAATTTTTTGATGTTATAAATAATATTGTAAAGACAATCTCTGCATATTCCTTAATGTTACTATCTTGAAAGAGATGCCTAGAAGTGGAAACATTTTTATGACAGTCAACACACACTGCCAAATGCCTTTCATCTCTACTTGGACGACCCATAAACTTCTCAAACTTAATATGTTCCGAGCTGAGCTCATCGTCACCCCACCCCACCTCCACCTGTTCCTCCTTCCATCTTCTCTCTCAGTGATTGGCACTCCCAGATGCTCAGCTGAACTCAAACGCCATCATCTTTGACTCTTCTCCTTGTCTCCACATATTCAATCCATCATCTTTCTCTGACATTGGCCTGAAATAACTCTGCTCACACGCATGTCCACTCTGTCCCATCCCCTAGTGCCCTAGTGCAATTTCTAGCTCTGTCACCTAATGGGGAATGAACCACAGCCCCTACATGGTTCCCCGTCACCCATTTTTTCTCCCTATTCCCCAGGAGGCTGTGTACTAAATGAATGAATGACATTGACACAGTTTTAAAAACACATGCAGAACACAAATGTCAGGCTTAAAAGCAATAGATACTGGATCTTGCTAATGGATATAAATAAGCGTATTATTTCTTGTGTAGAATTAGTAAGTTTGAACATTTTTTAACTAGCTAATTTAGCATGAAGTCACATGTAGCACTAATTGTAGAGTATACAACTAAAATTATTTTTTTTTATAAATTTGTCTTTTTTATTTAGGTAGATTTTTGAGATAATGAAATCTAAAATTTTGTGTAAGGAGAAATAAAAACAATCTTTATCATTCTGACCTGGGCTGATGTTTTCAAAATTTAAAATATGTGTAAACAGATCACATGAACTGTAATAGAATATAATAATTCAGATTATTAGGAGTTAAAGTAAGCCACACAAAAGTGTTTCTTATGAAGAATATTTTCTTCCTAGTTTAAACAACTGAATTTCCATCTATGAAGCAAAGTACAACTACTGAGATCTTTAAACATACAATGTGAAGTCGCCAGCATTGTGGCACAATGCTTAAACCACTGCCTGTAACAACAGTACCCCATATGAGTGCCAGTTCAAGTCCCAGTTGTTCCACTTCTAATCCAGTTCCCTAAAAATATTATGTACCTGGAAAAGCAGTGAAGGTTGGGTAACGTCACCTGTGTACAAGACCTAGAAGGAGTTTCAGGCTTGTGGCATAGGCCTGGTCAAGCCCTGGTCTTTCGTGGACATTGGGGAGTGAACCAGCAAATCAATCCTCTCTCTTTCCTCCTCTCTTATAACTGACTTTCAAACAAATGCATATTTTTCAAAAACATATAATGGGATGAACCAAGCAATGGGCAAATAATTTAAACCAAAACTTGTTTTTCAGTAATAGCTAGATACATGGGACCGGTAATCCTATTTCTTCCAATCATTCCACTAACTAATGTATTTTATTCTTTATTTTGTTGTAATTAGGAGACTGAAAACAATTGAGATAATGTGCCCACGAGGGCTACGTGCTGCATGGGAATCTCGAGGTCTCAGGACCAGCAGGCCCACGCTTCTGCCTTTCACTCCACCCCACTTTTATCCTGTACATATCTTCAGTGAATCAATCAAAAATTATGGTGAAAAATGAAGGCCTAACTTCATTGCAACATGAAATAAATGGAAAAGTAACCAACAACTAGGGAAAAACTGAAAAACTGACAGGATTGATAACTGGTACAATCTGAAGCATTGCATTTTTTCACCGAACTTTCTCACACTCCAATCAAAAAAGGAAAAAAAAAAAAAAGTAGATGCCGGAGAGGGAGTCTGACAATGCTGTATGCACCTAAAGGTCTCACTGACACCCAAGTGGAAAACATGTTTTCCTTGTGCATGTTTCTGACAGGGAACACAAACGCTGCTAGGTCCCCTCAAGCCCCAACCCCATCTCCATGCTGTGCTCCCTCCATTCAGTCTTTCCCCGATGCTCTGTCTCAGGATGAAATCTGAACCACTGTCTTGGCATGCAAGTCCCCAAATGATCTGGTCTCTGTGCCCTGCTAACCATCACGTCTAGTTTCCTCTCAAGTCCTTTTACATGTGCAAGGTTTTCATGGCCACCACTCTCTCTGTCCATGTTTAGTGCTTACTTTTATTTGAAAGTAAGGAGAGAGAGAGAGAATTTTGCTTTCTGATGACTTGCTCTCTACATGTCTCCAGCAGCCAGAAGCAGGCCAGGCTGAAGCCAGCAGCACAAGCTCCACCCAGGGCCTCTGTCATAGGCACATGTGTGTTCTTCCCTTTAACTCAGCTGAGCTTCACTTGCTCTCTGAATCCCTTCTGAGTACAGCTGACGTGAGGGTGCTCGCTCTGGGAATACCTCACGTGTGTTACATACGACATTGATGTGAATGATTATTTGCCCAGTATCTAGAAGACTGTATTAACTGCATTTTTTAAAGCACTGTGCCCCAATTCATAGCATTCTCTCATTAAAGCTACCACTACCTACTAATCTATAAAAGAAAAATGACATAATTTAGAGAGGCTGTATTGATTTTGATGATTAGTTTTGTAATAAAAAATGGACTGACACAGGTTTCCATTTTTTATTAAAGACTAATATTATCAAGAATTCCTATCTCAGATCAGCATCATTTCACAAAGGAAATGATATTTACACCTAACATACAGGAAGGACATTGTTAAGGCATAAAGGGCAAATCTGTGAGTCACCAAAGATGGAAACAAATTCAGAACCCCCAGGAGCATGCCTTTCCATCTGACCGATACTTGCTCACCATGGATTTGTACTTCCTCAAGTGTAACTTTTTACTGATGACTTTGATGTAGATGAAAATTAAACAATTAATTTGAGAGAGTACTTTGTGACAGGATCTCAAGAATAAACTACAATTCTCTGTTGTCGGTTGAGGTTAAATCTACGTGCTTTGGTGCCCAGAGGAAACAGTGGTAGGTTTGACAATCTCTTATGAAAAGTGAGTATATTCTTTAATCCTCACACCCCATCATTCCCTTCAGAGTCACCATTTACACCACATCATTCAACCGTGGCTGGCGGCTAGGACATGCCTAGAGTGAAATGTGAACCTGCCCCCCTTTCCACCAGCTTTATCCCAGGCTAAATGCATCCACGCATCCTCAGCCCCTGGCTGGGTTTCAAGCACAAATGCAGCACTGAGACCAGACCAGAGATGGCCAGTTGGTTTGGGTTATAGGTCCGGTAAGCGAAAATGAATCTTTTTCAGAGGGCTCAACCTCCCTTTGTAGGAGCTTACTCGCTTTGAAGTCAATCTTTATGATTGTTTTCTGTTTGATTTAGAAGTTTGAAAGCTGTCGGTGAGTTCTGCAGAAATGAAAACAATGCTTATCAGGACAGACAGCAGCAGGGACGCTGGGGAGTGGGTTCCTGATGCCTGACATTTACGGGCCCCTCAGGTCCACCCAGGGGTCTGCTCCGGAGAGTGACCCCGTCACGTGCTGCTTATCTGACAACACAGATCAAGTACCGGAAAAAATCAGCAGTGAGTACACTGTGGCTGTCAGATAACAGCAAAACATCTCAAGGAGTTTTTGTTTCTTAAATTAAACCCAGGACCAACACCTGCAGTATACATTAAGCAGAATATTTATCAGGTGCTCAGTAACAAGTCTGATACACATGAACAGGCACGTATCTATGCATATATATTTAAGTTGGATTTTAGAAAAGCAAGGATTGTGAGTCCTTAGCTGTCTCTGCTCCCACCTCTTGATATTTTCAATACTTCAATTAAGAAAAGGACTTGTAGCCTATAATACTTTCAAAAGGAAACAGAAGCAAAAATATGTGCTAAGTGAATTAAAGGCCATGACATACTCCATTTAATAGGAAGGAAGTCACCAGAGATGAGCCAGGCAGATTCATTTCTAAATGTAAAACTTTAAAAATCGTTACTATGACTTTCTTTGACAACTAAAGAAACCATGCTAAACCCTCCGCAAGAATAAACTTTTCTTCTGAATTATTTCTCAAGTAGACTCTCATTTCACTGCTCCATATATAAGGACACTGTAGCAATGGAGCTGACATTGGGCACAATTTATAGAAATGCTATTTTAAAAGACTTCTCATATGAATACTTTGTAAAGGTTAAGGCTTAACATTAAATTAAAACTCATGGAAAGCATTTCAAGTTGGGATGGGATCTGAGACAGGAGTCTAAATAAATGCCACAGCACTGACTCTCTCAAATATCTCACAGCATATGCTGCTCTCTAGCAGGTGTTGGGGGGTCAGTCAGCTAATGATTGAATTCTCCAACAAGTACCCAGAGGACAAAAATTCTGTTCTTAATTTAGAGTCGCATGCTCAGGCCCAGCCCTGGGCTCCAAGATTCAGACGGCCAGGAGCGTATCTGTGTTCTTCATAATGTTCTCCTGGCACTCCTCTGGCTGCACCGGTTTAGAGGCACTGCCTTAGGTCAGCGTCTGCTTTAGAGGGTTGCTTAGTTCAACTTAGTTCACTTCAGGGCCTAAAGATGGAACACACACTACTCAAGCGAGAAGGGGTGACGCCCTTCCCTGCCTAATAAAACGCTGCCTACTGAGAGCTGAACTGATGCCTGGCTTTTGTGCCTGCTTCTTAGTGGCAAACACCAGTTCACAATTGCTCTAGGAAACACTCCCTATTTAGAGCACGCTTTCATGAGAGCTACCCCTTGTACAGTCCTGTCTTCACAACTCAGTGGGGAACAGGACCACCCTGCATCTTGGAAGTGAAAATGTCACCACTGGAACAATGCATTCATACCTAGACAAGAAAAAATAAAGCAACTGCGTTCTGCAAAGCACTTCTATGTGGCTGATGTCAAAAATCCATTGCTGTAACACAGAAGAGAAAATTTAAGTCTAGAATATAAAGTTGGACTTAACATTAAAAATAGCTCGTTGCTTTGCCCCCTGCACTGCTCCTGCCTACTCTCAGACTTCTGTGCTTGGGACCCCTTACTCTTAATTCTAGTCAGTTTCTCTGCCATGCGGCCCTTACATTTAATTTTTTTTAATCCAGGAATCCTAGTGACTTCCAGATATCAACTGTATACAAGTGCTATTGGGGTTATGGATGAAGAAGTAGTTGGAACGTTGGGATATATTATGCAACACATCTTGCACCTTTATGGGGCTGGGCATGAGGGTGGGAGAAGCAAATCCGCCTTGAGATGCTGACATTGATACTTTCAATGGGCCCAGGCTGGCCTTCTTGATCTCTGTAGGGATACCTGTCCTAGTTTGGTATTCGTATTGCATGAGAATTGTCAAACCTCTTCCAAACATGCTGTCATCCTTACTGTTACAGTGCTGAGAGAGTAGGGTGCCCACTGGGACAGCGGAGCAGGTTGAGGCATGAGAGGAGCTTAGCATTTGCCCAATGTCACCTGCACTGTGAGTGATAAGTCAGGCTTTGGGCTCTCATGCCACAGGAACGGTTTTCAAATCCACTCTAGGCATCCGTCACCAACACATGGTGGAAAGAATGTTCAAGGCGAAGACACAGTTTCCTAGAATAAATTTACAGCCGTTGGTGCATCCTTCCACAGCTGATAACTGGGGCATCAATTTCCTTTGAAAGCCTTGGGCATAAATGATCAGCTTTGTCTAGACCTAGTGCTGTAATTCAGGATGTGATGCTGATCTACACTCAGGTTCATTGGTTCTGGAACCTGAGATGTGAAGAACGACTAACATTCACACTTTGTCCACTCAGAAAGTTGTCAGGATGTGCATATCTTCATAAAATCTATTTTTTTATTAAAAAATAAAATGCAATAGGCCATTTTCCATCTCCAAGTGTGATAAAATCACCACAGTAAAGAATCGAGAGTTAAGGCATCAGATGAAGGTCTGCTTACCCCTCCTTCATGTTGTTGATGGGAAGTGGCACACGGCCACCCCTGTCTAGAGCCGACGTGATGTTGATGGCATTCAGTCGCTCTGGCTGCCACACATTTTTCACTGCCCCCAGAAAGTCTCCAAGAACCTCACTGGCCAGCATCTCTTCCACGTTCATATTTTTTATGAAGAATTCTGCCTGATATGGCAACGGGAAGTCTAATTTTGGTGGAAAAGGGATGTATATATTTAATGAAGTAGTCTTTTACAAGAGAAACAAAAGAACAATTTGAGTTTTGTCCAATCTACTCATGATCCTGGTAGCAGAGAGAGTGTGACACAGGTAGCTGTTGAGATTTGTGCCTTCTGCCTCTCTGGACTAACCCAATTGGAGATCAACAATATTGGGGGGGGGGAGCCCAAAAAAATCATTTGTCCTGAGCATGTGCAGATTTTTTTCTTGTCATTACCCACTAAACAACACAACACTGATTTACACTGTATTATGTACCACAACTAATCTAGAAATGATTTTAAATATGTGGAAAGATGTGTAAGACTCACATGTACACATTATACTTTTCTATGACGATTTAGCATCTGCAGAATTTAGTATCTGAGGTAGGGTCCTGGAGCCTACCCCTTACTGGCACCGAGAAATTACTGGATGATGTCATAGGCTTTCTATATACCAAGGAGTATATCTAAAAATAAAGCAGAGTGTGCACAGAGCTTTATCCACAACATAACAAAATCCAGGGTAATTCTGAGATTTGGCCAAAACTGGAAGAAAAATTTAACCTAAATTTTCAATTTATAATATAAATATTCTCACAAAAGTGTTGATTATATGTTCAATAAAATTTTTAAAAAAAGAACAATTCTATTCTGATCGCTGTATAATAGAATATTTCAGGAAAATGACAAGGGGATTTCATACAACTCTATATCTCACACTGGTAAGAGATTATTTAGCTGTTTCCCTCCAAATGTCTCTCCAAAATTTTCTTTTAAATACTTCAAAATGTTGTGAACCAATGCTTTGTTAAATTCAGATCCTCAGTATTAGAAAATCTAAATAAATAATTTCAACTTCACGAGTGCGGTTCTTGAACTATTAACCATTATTTCCTATCCTCTAATTGTTCTACCTAGATTAAGAATAGATTCTATTTAATAGTGCTGCTGTAATAAGGGTTAATTTGCTTTAAAACTGTTGACTGGGAGACAAGCAAAGTTAAGGAGTTAGGTGAATAGCAACATTTAATAGAGAAAAGGATGCTCTTGTCTTTCCCCATCTCTTCAAACGGAGGGGCTTTATCTGTGGAGGGGCCAGGAACATGGTGTAATTTGAACTTCCTTCATTGACTTTTATCTATGCAAGAAGACATCATGTATAAAAACATTCTGCAGAGTTCCAACACATGATAAGATTGGAAAATATGAAACTTTAGCTCTTAAAGGAGAAAAGGCTGATGCTCTTAAATCTTACTTTAAAAAGATGAGAAAATATTCCTACTCTCTACAGATGTAAAGCGTTCAACCTGACCCTTTTGTATATCTTCTGATTTAAAAAAAAAAAACAAAAAACAAAAATCTTGTCTCTGTAATGCCTTCTATTTCTATTCAATAAATAAAAACAGGGCCCAGAGTGATGGCTCAGTGGCTAAATCCTCACTTTGCATACACCAGGATACCATATGGGTGCCAGTTTGTGTCCCAGCTATTCCACTTTCCCTCTAGCTCCTTGCTTGAGGTCTGGGAAAACAGCAGAGGATGGCCTAAAGCCATGGGACCCTGTACCCATGTGGGAGACCCGGAAGAAACTCCTGGCTCCTGGAGTTGGATCGGCTCAGCTCCAGCCATCGTGGTCACTTAGGGAATGAACCAGTGGTCAGAAGATCTTTCTCTGTTTCTCCTTCTTTTTATAAAATCTCATTGTTCAATATAAATAGATAAATTGAAAAAAATACAAATCAAAATAACAAAATTGCAGAATGAATACCTGAGAATCTAGTGACCTCAATTCTTTTGAAGCCATTTTTATAATAAAAAGACATAGGATGCCAGAGATGGAGGTGGGAGAGAAATTCTGGCTTTGAGATTGTGAATAGGAGCACGGCCAGTTCTTCCAAAAGATGTGTTTCATGGAGACCCTAACCACAGAAACCCCTTTTCTTATCTCCTACATGGTCAAACCTTGGCCTTATCATGTTTCTAGACCGGGTTAATGGATATATCATCTGCCATCTTCAAATGTTGATATTCTTTTATACAGATAAATGTCCTGTTAAAACACAGTTCCTGCCTTATACAGGAAAAAAAAAAAAAGGTAGTTTAATCATGCTACATTATTCTCCATTCCTGGAAATAATCATGTAGAATTGTGTGGTGAAGAAGGGCTTCTTGGCAATAAATAACATCTCATTTATAAGTAGTGCCAAACAGTTTTTCAATGTGCTGGAAATCTATAACCTATTCATCTTGTTCACTATTATGAAGTCTGTAAAACTTTGTTCCGACAGCGAGTGCTACTTTTCTGGAGCTCTGTTATTTGGCCTTTCTGAATCCACGTGACTCGGCTTCTTGGCTCCCTCTCCGAGACCTGCTGCGAAGCCTGTTGCTGCCACCACGCCCCTTGGCGGCACTGGCCTATGCAGCTGCCTGCTGTCTACCCCGCCAAGAGCTGCTGCCAGGCATCCCAGAGATGACTCACAGCGGCTTTCTAACTCTGGGGAAATCCCACGTTGGCTATATTTGGAAGTCACAGAGGCCAAGAGAACAGTAGGCCAACAGATTGGTGGCAGGCCTCGCAGGCGCTAAATCCAATTTAGAGAATCACTTTATGTACTCTCCTAGAGCTCCCTGTCAGTGTGAGACCACATGACTAATTTCCCAGTAGGTCTCTCCAAACCAGAGACAGCTGGGCAGGGAGCATGATTACCCTGGTATACAACTTTGATTATCTGTTTTCCTCAATCTGATCTGGGACAAACAGTGTGACTGCAGGCCTCGCTCAACAATGTACACCCTAGTGTGCACATTCATTTTGTCTGGGCCGGCAAGGACAAATGCATGATCTTTAGTTCTGGGATTTTCAAATTACTTGGACCCACTAATCCCTACATAAAAGGCAAGAGTCAAAGTGCAGGCTCCCCAACTCAGCCACTCCTGATCCCTCCGCAGCACACCTTCATAACGCCTGCACTGGATAAACAGCCCTTGGACCAGTCTTCCTCCTATCAATAGCATCCAGCAGTCCTTCATCAGTGTCTAGCAGAGCACTGGTCCCCAGGAGCAAGGCCCACTGAGATGCTTTGTGTGTGTTCTGTCTACAGCACTGAGACTAGACTTGAGGAGGAGCAAAGTCGGCCTTTCTTTTAGTCGGCAGGGACTCCAGCATCTGACCCTGAGTGTCAGGCTCAGGAGAGTACAATGGGGGGGCACATGGTCCCAACTCACCGTAACATGACTATCACAAGTTCTTATGGAAGAAGGAAAAAGCACCCTACTCATTCAGAGTACAGAGAACTTTAGGATGCATCCATTCAATCAAAACAGTTGCCTAAAACAAAACAAAAGCATCTCTGATGCAAATATGGATTATTCTTTCCTGGAGGAGAGTGGTCAGTCTTCTGTCTAGGCCCAGAAAACAGGCATCTACCAGACGTGCTTTTCATATAGGAAGGTCTTTTAGCATTGTACACTTACATTATTTGTGACCTGTAATTGATACTGCTAAAACATCTGTGAAAAAACATTCAGTTAGGTGGGGTTTGATTTTTCACTAATCTTATACACACACACACACACATATATATATATATATATATTTAACTTCACAGGAAATGCCTTAATTCATATAGCATAAAGGCAATTTTTAACTCAGCCTTAACTGAATTATCATGAATTCAAAATTAGTAGATTCTGATAGAGTATTTGGTTTGTTTGCTTCTAAGTATATCAGAAAATAGCAGCAAGAGTTTTCCCATCAGACTGGACAACTGTTTCACTGTATTCACACGGAGGAATGTTCTATATCACTCCTCTCCTGTCCCCTGCAAAAGCAGTATCTAACATAGACAGCATTATTCTATGACTTGCAAATTTTAATTACAAGTTTTAAGTGATGCTTATTTTTCCCAGTCAACTGTCAAAGTAGGGTCCAAATTTTTGTAAGAGTAATTCTTAGAATATTTCTTTTGTCCTTAGCCTTGGAATGCCTTAAGAAATTAACAAGAGTTAGAGCATATGCAACTCTAAAATCTGATGGACTCTAGTAGCTACTGATGAATGATTAGCTATTTGGGAAGGAAACTGTGTCTCAAACTGCGGTTTATTTTTACCTGTAACTCACCATGTCTTAACACATAACCCGAGCACCAGTCATGGTGAATTTTAAGGTAAAGTAATAAAACTGTCCGAAATCACTATTCATGTACATTGTAGTCACTCTGTGTTACGCCTATTTCAAGCCTTCACTCTTGGAATCCTCTCCCCAGACTTCGGAAATAAACATTATTCTTAGTTCAATTTTACAGATGAGGAAACCAAAGTTCATAGAAATGAATGGGCACTCTGTTTGGCTCTTGACTCTTGAGTGTCTCATCAACAAAATACACCATACAATATTTCACAACAAAATCAATATTGCTCCACATTAATTTCTGTATTTTACTATTTCATAGCTTACATTAGATATGTGCTATGTTGTGACTTGTAACTATATTTTAATCAGAAAACACAATGGAATACTTCTTGTAAATAAGAAAGCCATGGTTTTTTTCATACTTACCTTCTGCTGACATTATATTAATTATCAAATTATGCCTTGCAGTCTCAAAGGTGCGCCTATTGTAAGCAGTTATCTATTAGAAAAAGAAAACCATATTAAAGAATGGAAGCATTATTTGTAAGGCCAAATTCATTAAGGGTAAAAATGAAAACAAATTACTGTTCTATCCTTTTTCATATTTAGTGGTATATTCACAAAATGTTTCTTCTGTGGGCAATAAGAACTCAGTGCTTTTAGCCATATTATAGAAAAATAAATAATTAGGCAGTTCTATTTATGTATTAAAACTAAAAGTTGAATGCAGAAAGACTCTTTCACGCAAGTCCACTAAATGCTGGTACCAAGGCAGAGGCATCATTAGTAAATGGATTAACCATTATGAACTACTTACCAGTGACATTCTAAGATTTCACGAAAAAAAAAACACCCTAAACAATATAGTTTTTCACTTTTCAATGGAGTTTAAGGATTGTAATAGCAAGTACACTTTAAAACAAGCCCAACCTTGTGCTGCTTACACTTACTACTAAACTCCACACCAATGAGCCAAAACCATCACAAATGACCCTTTGGCAAATCATCCCTCACTCATGAGCACAGTAAAGCAGTAAAGACCATAGTCTCTACAGCTAACCACGCATGCTCAAAAAACACAAGTCCATCCCTCCCGGAGTCAGATATTAGTAAATGTTCACAGAGTCAATGAACTTCTATCATGAGCAATTCAGAAATAACCACTGCAAACAGCAAACACAGCAAACACCAGAGCAGATTAAAGCTTTCAAAAATCAAGGAACGATTAAGTTCATAACAGGTATTAAATCACGCAGACACATCTGTAGTACCTCCACAGCACACTTGGCTGTGTCAAAGTCTCAGACTCACAGCGCTGGCCTCCTGGGAGCGATCATGGCCAGGGTCGTGGCCACAGTAGACGCTGAGACACACACCAAAGAGTCGGGGGAAACCTGCTCAAATTAGAGTCTTGTGATTTAGCTTTTTAAAAAAATAAGTGTCAGAGATTTTTATTCATAATGAATGAATTTCAAAATATATGATCTTTGGAAACACGTAAGAGTTAGAATACGACCTTTGGAATAAATCATGACAAACTTAGAACGAGATGTGGATGATGTCCATAGTACTCTACAAGCTTCGTGCAGGGGTACACGCTCATCACAGCGTTTGGGCTGTTACTTTGTGGACAACCACGTTCACTATGGAGTCCACGGGTTTAGGCTACAGCTCTTTTGTTAATGCGCACCCTGGGGGATAGCAGCTGATGGCTCAAGTACCTGGCTCATTGCCACCCATGGGAGACCCAGGCTGAATTTGGGCCCCTGGCTTCTATCTGGCCCACTCTTGGTTATTACAGACATTTGGAGAGAGAACCAGCAAACGGGAGTTCCTTTTTGCTCTCTCTGCTCTCAAATAACCAAGCAAAAAGCATTTTTTTTTTTTAGTTTGTGGAAAATAGAATTAGAAAGTAAGTTTAAGTTGGTACAAAAATATTTTGAAAGCCATGCCTAATTCCATAACATACATTTCCTGTGAGCTTTTTAAAGACCTCCTCCATAGGCACACATATTTTGAATGGTTTTATTATTACACAAAGTCCAAATTTCTGGCTGGATTTTTCCTTGGTACCATACCTTGAGACACATAATCAGTTATGCTCACATTGCATGCTAAAATTAAACTAGCTCTTAAGAAACACTAGCAGCTATTGTTCAAATAAACCAAATGAAAAATATAAAACGGGTTTTACTTGCACATTTTCATGACTGAAAAAGTTCATGCTGCAAAATATATAATCAATAATAAAATATCAATGCTCTATTATTAGAATATGTTGAAGAGTCAGCCAGAAAAAAAGTTCAATATTTTAAAGTTTACAGTAATAGTTTTACAGTTAAACTTCTCATATTTATAAAAGAAAATTTCATTACAATAAATTTTATAAATTCTAATAGGTTTCTTTTTTAAAATTACAGGTTACTGTAGGGATTAAAGAATATTTTACATCAGGAGACAAAATCTTACTTACCTGAATATATGTGTAATTTACAGCCCTAACAGAAGATAATCCTTGTACAACTTCTAACGTGACACTAACATACTCTAACATCCTCGATCCAATCAGAACTATTATGGTGTGAAGACCTCCCAGGCAGAAGGGAGATGCGTGGGTGTGCTTTATTTTGACTCCCTAGTTCTAAAACAGCACATGTTCTATTTTGGTGCTTAGAACATGAAAAAGGTGTCAGACATCTGTTAATCAGTCGATTTATATGATTAAAAGCAAGCTGAAGACAGTAAACTTTTGATAAAAGTATTTTATAATGTTTACTCATCACTATGCATGGATATGAATGAATTATTTACAGATAAATCACTGAGTTATATAAAATACATACTACATTTTCATCACTATCTTTTTAGTATATGATTTGATTCACATCGTTAACACTCTCTGTTAGGAGTAAGGTATAAGGATATAATTAACTTTGCAATTTGTCTCAATACCTGCGTTTCTCTTATCCTAGCCCCACCTTTCCCCAACCAGAGACAGTTTCTTTGAGTCTGATTTTAGCATTTATTTCATTGTACACATTGTTTTGCTGCAGATGCAGGCACACTTAAAACACATTTAATTTGCTAATTTGTGAGTCCTATAAAAATGAGATACTATATACTCTTCTGTTATTTTAAAAACAAAAAGTATGTATTAAATATTCTTCTACATTGTTGGTAAAGCTTAAGTTCATGACTGTTTTTAATATTCACTGTATGAATATACCCTGATTTATTAATGCATTTTCCTTCTGACAGATTTTTGGGGTGTCCACTGTTTTGCAGGTTTCCAATGTTTTCCTATATAAACATGGCTTAATGAGCAGGACTGTACTTGGCTCCAGGTGGCCGTCTGCAAGGGTCTATTAGGGGAAGTATGCCCAAGGTAGGACTGGAATACACAGTACGGTGCTACTCAACCGAGGTCGGTACTGCTGCCCAAGTGTTTATGTCAATTCCCACATTCAACTGCAGCGAACTGTTCTGATGGTAAAATTATCAACACCGTCTTAAATCTGATCATTCTTCATGACCGCTACGAGCAACCTTCTTCTTTTCCAAAAATACTTATTTTATTCATTGGAGAAACAGAATGCCAGAAACAGGGTGGGAAATGTGGGAAAGAGACAGACACTTCCCAGTTGGGCTGCAATGGCTGGGAGCCAGGAGCCAGGAACTCCATTACAGTCTCACGGTCTCACATAGGGGTGGCAGGGATCAAAGGACTGGGCTCATCCTCTGCTGCTTTCCCACGAGCATTAGAAGGGGGCTTAGCGGCAGAGCAGCCAGAGCTTGAACCTCCACTCCAATACAGGATGCTGGCACTGTGGGTGGTGGGCTACCCCACCGTATCATAATGCTAGCAAAAGAAAAAACTCATCCACCTTCGTGACTCCTCTTTGGTGAAATGTCCTTTTCTTACCTAATTTTAAGACTACTTTTGCGAGTTTAGAAACTCATTGTACATCAGCTACATGCACTAGAAATGTCTTCTTCCAATGGTTTTTATTTTATTATATTTTTTTGGTCAATAGTTTCTTTTTATGGACATAAATCCACAGGCTTAACATAGCAAACTCTAACAATCTACCTCCTGAATAATATTTAGTTATCTTTCAAAAAAGATTTATTTATTTTATTTACACGTCAGAATAACAGAGAAAGAAAGGGAGAGGGAGGGTATGAGAGGGGAAAGAGTGAAAGAGAGAAAGGGAGAAAAGGAGGAAAAAAAAGGATCTTTGCTGGTTCACTCCCCAAATGGCCACAAGGCCAGGGCTGGGCTGGGCTGAAGCCAGTTCTCCCCCGTGCGTGCAGGAGCTTACGCATTCAGACCATCTGTCACTGCTTTTTCTAAGCCACTAAAGAAAGAGCAAGATCAAACCAGAGCAGCCGGGACTCGAACTGCTGCCTTCATGGGACATGGTGCTGCAGATGGTAGCTTGACCTGCGACACCATAACAGCAGCCCCAACATTAGGTTTTATTTAAGAGTTCTAAGGTTGTGGCCAGTAGTTGGATCCCTTCCACCCGTATGTGAAACCTGGGATGAGTCGGGGCTCCTGGCCTCACTGGTTACCTGACTACTGTAGGCATTTTAAAGGGAGCAAACCAGCAAACAGAAAGGCTGTCTCCATCTTTCAAAGTAATACATATTTTTAAATAAAATAAAAGCGATATCTTTACTAAAAACACATTTTTTTCTCAATACTTGCTATTCAGGTGTGGAAAAGTCACGATTTTTACACAGTCCATACAGCTTAACCTTATCTGTTAGATTCTTAGCAGTCATTGACGGTAGGCTATCTGTGCCAGGCCCTAAATGGTCACTTTTTAATATAAAAGCTGAAAAGAAAGACTTGACAGAGAGGAAAGCATGGTATATTTCTAAATGTTTACTGGAGTGTTTCTAGGCACAAAACACTACAAGCCACTGTCATGGAACTTCAACACTATAAACTCAAATTCCAAGCAAAAAAAAAAAAGCAATTTATTAAGGAAATTACCTCAATGATAGTCGGCTTCCCCACATTTTCAGCTGTTGGAGACCCGTACAGGACTCCATCACTATAGGGTGTCCTCTGGATATAGCGGAGCCATCCAGGTCGGTCCGGGTAACCCATTAAATTTGTGTTAAATGTTATAGGATCATTACTAATCTCGCCTAAATAAGAAATACAGAATTAACACATAATTATTTTTACACAAGCAGGTTTTGCAGTCTCCATCAAAACATTCTGCACAAAGACTTTTTTTCCCCTTATATCTGTAGCAAACTAAATACACATCCAAATCTATCTGGAATTTAGATTAGGGCCTCCCGCAAGGAGAATCAAACCTGTTGATTGTTTCATTAGTCTAGAAATCAGATGCAACAAAGTAGATTCACACACTTTTCTTGGAAATTTTTGTTTGTTCAAGTAAAAGTAGAATGATCCACTGCTAAGATACCCATCTTTCAGGCAGAATTTTTTTAATTCCCATTAATCACAGGGATGAGCTCTTTATTTTGTGAAGCATCCCTTTCATCAAAATTGTAGACAATATTAAACTAACATTAAAGGATATCCCCAAATTACAAAAGTATCACAAAAACAAAATACAACTTAGAACATCAGCAGACAGGATGAAAAAGATGCTACGCATCCCAAACAAATGAAGTAACTGATAGGGACCACAGCTGTTGGAAACCTGCAATGGCACCGCTCTTCGTGAACACGGGCCTGCCCACACGTGTGCTAAGAGCCTCACAAGCGTTGTTCCTCCTGCTCTCCAAACGGCCTCATGAAAACAGACCTTGTTTCAGACCTAATTTTGTTGACAGGATATATAAAGTTCCATCTTAAGCAACTTTTCTATGTTCATATTAAATGGTGAAATGAGAATCTAAAGGCTTAGCCATCTACTTTGCAAATATGGAGAAAACATGAATTAAAAGACCACCTTGTGTCTTCCATAGCACTAACACGGCTCAGTGCCTCATGGATGTGCTCAGGTGGCAATTCAACAGAGGCCACGAGAAGATACTGGCATTCTTTCTAAGGCTAAAAATGTGTTCTTACAAAACAATTTTCAGAAAATCCATTTTGTGACTTTTTCATACAACTTCATATGTTTTCTCTTGTATTTCTCTGCATCTTCATTAATTTGCAGACATTTCTGATCATTCAAAACAACACATTTAAACCAACAGTGAATTCACTAAGACTTCTTAATTGGTCATATTTTAAATGAAAAATTAATCCCCATTATACTGTTAGGAAGTTATACAAAATTATCCTACATTCTAAAATCTTTTGAAGAACTCCTAATGCCATATTTTATTCTCTTCTACAACATGCATAGTTTTCTAAAACCTAAGTCTTAATATGGAAAACCATAATTACAAAATAGTAACAATTTCTATATGCATGTAAGTAGATCATTTATCAGAAACATAAAACTCAGGTATTGGAACTCAGAAATACGCTTTCCTTAAAATTCAGAAGTGGACCGATCTGGCTTTGTGGCATAGCACGCAAGCCAGCACCTCTGATGCCAGCATCTTAGGTTCCAGTTCAAGCACCAGCTGTTCTAATTCTGATGCAGCTTCCCTGCTCATGTGTCTTGGAAAGCAGCAGAAGATGGTCCAAGTGCCTAGGCCTCTGCCATCTCTGGAGGTGACCCGGATGAAGCGCCTAGCTCCTGGCTTCTGCTCGGGTCAGCCCTGGCCATTGCAGTCATTTGGGGCGAGAATCAGCAGACAGATGTCTCCCTCACTTCATGATTCTGTTTTCCAAATAAACTAGCACATCTTTCAAAAGGTGAATTATTTCCTCCTATAATTAAAATTATAATCCTAAGATGAGAAATATCCCACAACATTAATCTATTATGTATCCAAACCATTTCAAACCATACTAGAAATATTTGATCACAGACTGTCTTGATTAAGCATACTAGAGAGAACAAAAAAAAATTTCAGTAAATTAACCGCTATTTTCCCCTATAAAGAACATACCAGGTTTTGGGTAAGGTGGAAATTCCCCCTTAAAATACTCTCTTTCCAAGACATGCACAAAGAGGACACCTGCGGATGGGTACACGTTGCGATCCGAGTGCACCTTAGAGAAAATAGTGTACACTGGAAACAAAGGGGGAAGACACGAAACAGAAAGACAAATGAGAGAGGCTCTCAGCAGCTCCCCTTGTGCTGTGGAGAAGGCCTTCCCCGGGGAGAACCTCTGGGAAAACCACAGCAACGGGCACAATATCCATTCATAACAGGCTACTTTAGGGGAATGGGTTCAGGACTAAGCACAGAAAAGCTCTTTCCATGTGGGTTTACAGCCTTTTTCAAATACAATATAAGCAAAATTGGGCACATTTTATATTTTAAATTACTGCCAAATAATAAAGGCATCTGGCTAACTTTTACTTGAAATTATCATAAATAAAGCATGTGCATCATTGACCAACTACACACATAATTGGTACATTTTTTTTTCTTTCCTTTTTAAAAGAAAAGTACATAGAGTGATTTTTAAACTGTAATAAGCCATTCTGCACTGCTGTTTTCTAGACTAAGGAGATCAGGCTTAATATTTAACATCGATGATATATAATAAGGTCTCTTTTATACATACCTATAAAGTGAGTTGGATACTTTTTCTTAATATTCATCTCTCATCTCTCCTAGAAAATATTAATTCCATTTCCCCTGATCTTGACATTTAATAATTCAAGCAATACAATCTATATTATGCTACATCCCAAGAAAGTAATGACAATTATGCAATAAAATTCAATGCAGATAATCTCTTCAGTAGATGGAGCGGATTTCCTGACGTAAGACACACAGAGGGTGTGAGTATGTTAAAATGGTCAGAGTGCATTGATTAGTCTCCACCGACGGTTTTTTCTCTGGTCTCGTCATCTCCACCAACACATCACCGCTGTTACCCTTGCCACCTCTGCAATCTCTTTAGGGTTACTGCCTTCCCAATTGATGGCGGCCGTACTCCATATACAGATAAACCTCATCAGGCCAGCTGCTTTTTATAGTGGCAGGTGGATTTACAAATGTAGTAATTACCTCAGGAACCCCAAGGCTGCTCACATTAAAATCACAACTTACTGAAAGCCATGCATAGCAAGATCCCTGACAGTCACATTTGCAGCATAAAAACAGAAACTCCCACAAAATGTTTCTCTATCTGTGAAAATGTGTCCCTGTCGTTCTCTGGATGGCTGCCAAAAAAAAAGGGAACTGAACTAAAATATTTGGCTTGTAGCTCCACATATCCTTAACATCACTACTAAAAACACGTCAAAGGCTCTGTAACAGTGGGGAGGGAATCCCAAGCTAAGTTTAAAACAGGGAGACTCTGGCTCTGGCTTTTTCTGAGCTGCTCTCCCTCACTGGTCTTTCTAAGGTATTTCCAGTACCTAACGTCTACCCAAGATAGATGGGCTCACTGGGAGAATGGTCCTTTTCCAAATGACAAGAGAGAAAGAATCACAGGGAAATATGGGGGATGAGAATGTGAGATTTTTCTAAGTCCTCAGTTGTTTGGAACCAGACCCACACCACGATGAGCCCTGAATGTCAGGTCCTGTAGGGAGCAAGAGACGCGAGAAACCCTGGCTCGGCTTCCGGTGAGTGTCCCACTCATGTCCAGGAGACCAGCATCCACCTGACTCGGTTGGTATTTTCCCAAAGTGCTCTCTGCCCTATCAATACAAGCAAGAATGAGGAGAGCAGCTGGGGCTGGCAGCATCAGGAAAAAGTGATGGAAGAAGTAGGGTTCAATACAGCTCCGTCAGTACTAGTCGGGTTCTGGAACTCGAAATTGACTAAGCACAACAGTAGGAGACCGTGAAGCCCTTGCAAGGAAGAGAATTAAACCAGTGATGGAAGACCCTAGGGCATGCTGAAGGAGTCAAATCATGGACTTCTGGACTCATGCTGAAATGCTCTTTCGCTCTGTACACAAAGGTGTTTAAAATGACAGGCACAACCTTACAGCCACGGCAAAAAGGCTCTTCAGTTATCTGAATAAATCTCACTGGGGCTTACCTAATTTATTCTTCCTAGAGATTAACAGCATCTCAAAGTCTAACAAACACAGAGATGTGTTTACCTCGCTCCTTTTCCAGCACCTGGAAGAATACCTGACAGCTGTGAAGAATTCTGTTGGTAACTACAGATAGTGGGTGAGTGCATGCTGACAAAGCACTGTAGGAGTGTACACAGGTCTCGTGTTTGTGAAATACACTAATGTTTAAACCGTAGCACTTTACAGATAACCATCTTCCATTTACATTGTAAACTGCCCTTAGTCACCCCTACTTTTTGTTGATCAGAGGTGGTGAAGTGTAACTTACAAAGCAAACCAGAAAGTTGCTCATACGGAATAATGTTGAAATGAAACTATTTGCTAGACAGATGGTCCTCCCCAGGCCAGAAGTAGAGCCCCAAAGGGCACCTGTCACTCCGTATCACCTCACGACAAGGACTCATACACAATATCGCAGCTTCTGCTTTCACGATCTACAGAGCAAAGTCGCTATCCACCCTGGCTCTCCCGGGTTTTGAGATGATACGCACATTTCTTTATTCATGTGGACTCAATTGCCTTCCTGCAATCTGGTGAACCGCAGACTTGCTGGTCAGTTACCTTGGCAACTCCACAGTAAAGCCTGCTTCACTTTAAGTATAGTATGCCACTCACTTTGAGAAAAACATGATACAGATGTATGACACATTCATCGTCTAGAAATGGAAAATGACTAAGCCACTATGCTTTGTTTGCGGAAATAATGCTTCCTTTCTGTACCATCAGTTTAAATTATGGGCACCCACACACCATTTTAGACAAGTACCCTCTCCATTCCCTTATCTATGTGTTACTTGCAAAACAAACAGCTCTTCAACAGGGGCTATCTGGGAAGTATTTACACCTATACTTCCTTTCAAAAAACAGCAAATGACACGGAAAATTTGCAGCCCTAGGCTCTTTTTCTAAACATACACTATATCAGTGATGCTGACAGGGTCCGCACCAGCACCCACAGCTGCTGCTACTAACAGCTAACACATGTTGCACTCACACATGCCTAGCTGGTACTAACAAACCATAAGCAGGGAACATATTGCTTTGCTTAAGAGCAAAGTCTTGAAAATGAAATTAAAACACTCTGAGAATTCACAACAGGAATATCTAATAATCTCTGAAACATACATGTGTACAGCGCCATGCTGATCAAGCTGAGGTCCCAGGGCCTGGCTTCTCTGTGTATCCCTGTTTGTGCAGTCTTCTATGGCTGCAAATCCGTTACCTCTGCAAACACATGCCACTGGATACAAATGAAACTGGAAACCAGCGTGTGACTAACTCCACGCTAATCCATCACCATCAGTGGAAAAAACAACTAAACCAAAAGTTCAGCCCATGGGGAATCAAAAATACCATCTTAAAACAGCAAGGATGGCTAAGTATGCAAGGATTTGTAAAAAATTCTAAACCTGTACCTGAGTGGAGAAGCATCCACGTGGATGTCGGCAAGTAGCTGGGTCATTAGTTACCCTTCTAAATGGAGCTCCACTGTCTCTTATCACCGTTGCCTCCAAAATATTATCCATAAAACGGTTCTCTGGGTGTTTTAGCGATCGGATATGGAAACTACAGGCCATTTCGATCGCTGTGTATTATGTGACAGCACACAGCCAAGAATCAAATAACAGCCTGTGATAGTAGCAACAGCAATAAAGTGGGACCTCATGCCAGCTACATAGTGTCCTGTCTTCCCTTACCAAGAGTCCACTGGAAATTTACTCTTTGCGAGAAAGATACAAGGGTGTGCATGTGTGCTTACCAGCAATTAACTAAAAACAAAAGCAAGTTTGGATATATTCAGTAAACAGAATTTTGAAAGTATCAGGGCAGTCTGTTGCTAATGACTTGGTGGCATCGAATGTCACAGTTGCCACACTGATTATTCTAAATGGCAGATGCACGTGCACCGGGTCCTTTCACGACAAAACAATCTGCAGAACACTTGTCGTGCCACCCCCTCCCGACTCCCCTGCTTTTTTTTTTTTTTTTTTTTGCATCACCAAGAACAATGATGTGGCTATCATGATAAAATAGTCCCTAGATGTGATATCCTGCAGGATGCTGCTCGATTCAAATCTTAAAGCCAACTATCTTTGAAATATTTGAGAATAAATTATTGTCAATACGCATGTCCAGGGGACTTTCACTAGATACCAATTACGTGCCTATCTCCCTTTTGGCTGTAAATAAAAAATCACCTAAATATTATGAATCTTATCATTTTCTAATTTTTGTTTTAGGCTTACAAGGCTACAGTAAACTTTCTGATTTCTAGAACGCCCCCCCCCCCGAATGATTCATTTTAGGGAGCTGATTTCTTGCTGCTGGCCCTTCCTCGTGATGGCATAAGATCATCATTTTCCACATCAATTATTGCGCTCTGCTCTGTTATACAGTGATGCCCTTATGGGCAGTTTGTTTGACTTGTCATTCACTGATCACCCCAGTGGGTCTCACTCTGCTAATGCTTTTAAAGGCTGTGTGTTTTATAGATTTTCTGTTTTCTCCTCTGTAGACAGGCTGTCAGCTGTCATTTCCTGTTGCTTCCTATAGCAGCTTCTCCTTCTCTTCCAATTTACTGTTATTAATCTGATGCAGAAACCAGACTACCAAATGAGGCAGGATTGCACCTCAAAGTCAGACAGATACGTGCTGTTCCCGTGCACAGGAAGATCTGCTACACGTAAAAGCAGGCAACCTATGTTGGCAGCGTCTATTTTGGCTGTCCAAAGCCCTTTTGTGGCAGATTTCCTGTTTCTTCATGGACACGGCACACTTCTTAATTGGGACCAGGCAGTTACTTGGTGAGGCAGCACAACTCTGTGTGTGCAATACATTCTGAAATAAATAAGTGTGCAATTGAAAGTCTTAATTATACCTATATATTACACAAACATGAACTGGCAAATCAAAATGGTTCTAATGTGCTGCTTAAAATAGTTTCTTACATATCTGGTATGTGGGAAAATAAACTGCATAATTTAAACAGAGATCCATGTAGAAAATGTAACACTTAGCAATAGTT